CATTTCCTTAAGAGATATTCAGAAATTATTCCATTTGTTTAATTTTATTTGTCATTATATAAATGACACATACTTGTAGCAAAATAAAAGAAAGAGGAGAAAGGGAAGGAAGGGAGGAAGGAAGGAAGTATAATTTGATTCTGCTGGTTTACATAAGGGAGAAATAAGGACAGTGAGAGAGGGAAAGTGAAGTTTTTTTTTAAAAAGGTTGGCTAGATAGGGAACTGAGAGTAGAATATGATTGAGAAATTAGTCTGCAAACAGTGCAGAGAGCTAAGTAAAGGTGCAAATTTGATGTTCACTTTGGCTTTTAACCTACTGTCAACTGACTTACCAGCCCAAATCCTAGATTCCCCTAGGGGGAATTACGTTCTACACTGATTAAAGACAACTATGAAAGAAGAAACTCTAAAAGTTTTAAAAGAAAACGTAAAATATCTTTATGAACTAGACATGAATAAGGATTTCTTAAACAACATACAAAAAGAAATGTATATTTTTTGCCCACTAGATAGGTAAAAATTAAAGGTCTGAAAATAACAGGCGTTAGCAAGGCTGTGGATCACAGGGAACTCACACAGACACTGCTGGAGGACGTGTAAGTTGGAATAATTGGAATCACTTTGGAAAATAACTTGGCATTATCCTGTAAGCCTGAATATTTTTACACCTGCATGTAACCCAGCAATTCCTCTCGTAGGTTTATACTGTAGAACAGTGCTTCTCTAAGCTTATCAAGCATCTGAATCACCTAGAAAGCTACACAAATTGGGGGCCTCACCCCTGGACATTCTGATTCTGTACACCCATGATAAAGTCCATGAATTTTATTTCTAAGAAGCACCCAGCTGATGAGGCTGCTGCTGGTTTACAATCACAGTTGGAGTAAGTAAAGCTTCTCCAGATTTCTTCACCTGGGTCTTTGGAAACAGGAACAAGAATGTTCAAATAGAAAAAGCAGAACACAACTCAAATATCTATCAGAAGAATGGGTAAATCAACTGTAGTATTTTACACAGTGGAGTATCATACAATATTGAAAAGGAATACTAAGTGGGCTTCCCAGGTGATGCTAGTGGTGAAGACTGCCTACCAATGCAGGAGTCATAAGAAACAGAAGATTGATCCCTGCGTGGGGAAGATACCCTGGAGGAGGGCATGGCAACCCACTCCAGTGTTCTTGCCTGGAGAATCCCATGGACAGAGGAGCCTGTTGGGATATTGTCCACAGGGTCACAAAGAGTTGGACACAACTGAAACTACTTAGCGTGCACAAACTCTAAGTATTTGTACTACTTGAACAAATCATCAGGGCCTAATGTTACGTCACAAAAGTAAGTCACAGAAAATCACATATCATGTGATGCCATTTTTATAAAACTAACAAATTAATATGTTGCTTAGGTACAAATACAGAGATTAAACTATGAAGCAAGACAGCAAAAAACAAAAATGAGAAAAGGAAGACTCATAACTAGATGCAAGAGTGTGGGTATTCTGGTAGCCTTTAAGAAGGGTGATGGGTTCTCATATGCTTCAGAATTGTCATTAAGTTACATATATGCTCTTGTATATGGAAAGCAGATACATAACAATTTGAAGCTATATTTAAAGAAAATTCTCACAGATTGAAGAAAGGTCTTGACTTTCTGATTAAAAGTAGTCCCCAAATACTGGCAAATTAATGCAGAAACTCACATTGACACATTCCTGGTAAAAGTTCCAATGTCAAGAATAAAACATGACTCCTATAAGCATCCTGACAGGACACAAGAGATAGAAAACACGGAAGCTAACCAAACATAGACTAAAATTTGTGTTCACTTCAAACTTCTCTACAACAGCAACCACTACAAACAAAAAACTTTCAGAATTTACTTAAAGAATGTTTGAAAGGAAAGGAAAAATTATAATGCAATAAACTTGAATCTGCAGATTATAATGCTAATTATTATGAAAATGATGTGAAACTGATATTTTTTAAATGGAGATTTCAGTGGAAGAAAAAATAGAAAAATCCATGTAATACAGATTTATTATATAGTATATATAATAGTTCTCATCAATATATGTATCATGATATACATATCATAAAATATATTATATCTGCATATATTTATATATATATTTGTGTGTGTGTGTTCAGTCGCTCAATTGTGTCTGACTCTTTGCAACCCCATGGACTATAGCCAGTCAGGCTCCTCTGCCCATGGGATTTTCCAGGCAAGAATACTGAAGTCAGTTGCCATTTCCTCCCCCAAGGGATCTTCCCAACCCAGGGATCAAACCACATCTCCTGCATTGGCAGGTGGATTCTTTACCACTGAGACATGGGAAGTCCTTATATATATTTATATGTATTATATATAACATGTAATTTTATACATGTGTTATATAATACACATATTATTATATATGTATCATTTATATTATATATCATAATATATACTATATTGTATATTAGTAGGTGTATCTTATATCAGTATATATATCTATATATACTATATATATACTATGATATGCAATATTATAACTGTGTAATAATCATTACACTATATAGTATATTGTATAATACTATATAAAATAATGTATCTATAATATACATTAAAATATAGTAAATGTGGCATATTATATAATAACAAATATGGTAATGTATAGTATGTATGTATAGTATGTATAATATACATACATATTTCATGCATATAAAATTTAGTTTGTGATAAAGGTGAGTTTAGGGATAGATTATTTACTATATAATGCTACAACAACTAGTAAATTATTTAGTCAATAATAGAGTTATTACCATGCACCAAAATATTTTTCAGTGAGTTAAAAGGTCAAATTTTTAAGTGGTAATATAAAAAGAACTAGAAAAAGTGTCAGTGAAGATTGATCTGATCCTTGTGTGAGGAAGGACTTTCTAAAAATAAAAGAAAAGGAAAAAATCAGAAGAAAAAGACTGATATGTTTTTCTATAAAATTGTTTAAAAATTCTCCATGTCAAAAACATCATAAAAAGTGATAAAAATCAAACTACAAACTTGTACAGAATATTTGTTTTATAAATATTCCAAAGGATTCTTCCACTAATATTAAAAGTTATGTTACAAATCAATGAGAAAAACATAGACATTCCATTGGAATATTGTGACTGTGATAATAACTTCACAAAGATTACTTCAAACCAAATTACAGTCAAGTAAGAGCAAATTGAACCAATGAGTTTTTCTTTTCATCTGCATGATTGACAATGATGACATATTTGCCATTTTAAATATAAGGAAACCATATCTAACTGCCATCCTAAAGGTACTTAAAGTTAAATAAGGTAAATATTTGGGCAGGGCTTAGTGCTCAGGGAAGATCTGGAGCTATTCTGGTGAAAAAGGTGCTTTGAGACTGTTCGGATTTATGCAGTTCACCAGAACTTTTTAAGCACCTAATGTTATAAATGATTACAAAAGTAGGGAGGGGGAAGATTATTAAGAGGCTTCTGCCTGAAAAGATGAAGGCTCAGAAAGCAAAGTTGATGTCTTTAAGATCTTGAATAGCATGCCTGTACTCAATAGGATGTCCACTGAATTCCAGAATTGGCAGGGAGGGAGGAAGCTCCTAAACAAACTAGGTGGCCCTGTTTATATGATGAGTTATAAACACTTAAGTCATTACCCCGTAGTAGGATTTAAAAGCAAATGCAAAACAAATACAAAATATGTTGTGTGTCAAATATAAAAATAAAACATGATAATAGCAACAGTATAAATTAAGGTGGCAGTAAATAGTCTTTTGTAAGTTCAAATACATGTGTGAATTACAGATTCAGTATTTATTAATCAATTACAAATGGACCCTAGAGTGGTTAAAAACTAAACTTTTTAGTTTAGATTTATTGAGGATGACCAAGAATTAGCGCCATGGTTTGCTTTTTTCTGTTTGCATTTTTTACTCTGGAATTAGGACTCTGGGCTTCCCTGATAGCTCAGTTGGTAAAGAATCCACCTGCAATGCAGGAGACCCTGGTTCAATTCCTGGGTCAGGAAGATCTGCTAGAGAAGGGATAGGCTCCCCACTCCAGTATTCTTGGGCTTCTGTTGTGGCTTAGCTGGTAAAGAATCCACCTGCAATGTGGGAGACCTGGATTTGATCCCTGGAAGATCCCCTGGAGAAGGGAAAGGCTACCCACTCCAGTATTCTGACCTGGAGAATTCCATAGACTGTATAGTCCATGGGATCGCAAAGAGTCAGACATGACTGAGCGACTTTCACTTCATTTCACTTCAAGACTCTGATCTCCTGTCTGAAGGAGCTTCATCCTCCTCCCACCACAGAAACAGTCTTTAGTGACAATATTTGGAAGATGACATTTTGGATTCTCGTATTAGTGACAATCCTAAAAGATTGGAAACCTTACATTCTAAAATTAAACAGAAGTCATAAACCAGTAGGAAAGTAATGTTTGTCTTAGTTGCTCAGTAGTCTTGCCTGACTCTTTGTGACCCCATGGACTGTAGCCCACCAGGCTCCTCTGTCCATGGGATTTTTTCTCTAGGCAGGAATACTGGAGTGGGTTGCCTTTCCCTTCTCTAGGGAATCTTCCCGATCCAGGGATCAAACCCGGGTCTCCTGCATGGCAGGCAGATTCTTTACCATCTGTGCCAAAAGTAAAAGTCGTAGGAAAAGAAAGTTGAAAATGCAAGGCCCTAGCTGATTATTCTTTTATATGTGAAAAACTGATTCATTTGCTTTGTGTGCCACTCTGGGTTCTCCCCATGGACATTTCCTCATTTGGTCAGTTCCAGAGACCTCTTTAGATAGTGCCCATTTCATACGAACTGAAGATGAGTGCTTTGTTGTGGTGACCTTGCTTACAGGGTTAGAGTCTTCTGTCCTGATTCCCTAAACTCCTGGTATGAAGTGCTTTCTGGCCTTTGTGTTTGTGTGTATACTCAGAACACCTGAATATATGTCGCTCTCTGACTCTGTTTCTCTGTTCCCTTCAGGACTATTGGCTCTCTCTCCTTTACAAGCGCCTCATCGGCCCCAAAGTCCTGGCCGTGCACGTGGCTGGGCTCCAGCGGAAGCCCCGGCCAGGCCGAGTGATCCGGGACAAACTAAGGATTTATGCTCACTGCACTAACCACCACAAGTAAGTGTTCAGAGAGATGGCACAGAAACCACCGCTGAGAATTTTAGGCCGTTTGAGAACTTCGTGCTACACTGGACCCCTTCAGGACACTGAAAACTGCTTCTGGATTCACTAGACCCGTTCTTTGCAAGTTTCAAATGATTTCTGATAAACAGTTTTTTCTCCAAGTAAAACCCCTTTCTCACACTTAGAAGAATTATTCATAAAATGTTCATAAAGATACATGCCATTTGTTTATTTACTTCTTCATCCAACAAATTTTTATTGAGCATTTTCTCTCAGCCAGTTGATGTAATGCCCAGGAGGCTTATTTGTGTGCCTATGCCTTAACCAAAACTAGAGGTATAAAACCTATTCCTAAGATATACCAGCAGAGCTGGAAGAAATAAGCCTACTTTTCTAAGATGCATGTTGGAGAGCTATACCACTAGAAACCTAACCATGTACCAGTGCATCCCAAGCTGGGAGTACCCAAAGCTAGTCATGTCAGCTTTACAGCCATTTCAGTATTTTGAAAACTATTTCAGCTATTTTAAAGGTTAGATGGTTAAATAAAATCTGGGCTTCCTTTTTTTAGGGGGCCAAACCTTGAACAGTCAGCACAGTAACAGGGATGGTTATCCTCTTTTTCATCTGAAGCTGAGGTTATCAGGGTTGTCTTTTAAGAAGTAGGAAACATAATTAGTACATAAAGTTTAGCAGATAAAAGATTTTAGAATATGAGGATCATAAGGTAAAAACTTAAAACAGAGCCTAAAGCAAAACCCACCTGACCAAATACGGCTTTCTTACATTGCTTCCAATTTAAGCAGCAGAGTAGGCAGCCCTGGAAATAAGAACCCTTTCTCTTAAGGCAGAGAAACCCTGTGTGGAGTGGGAGTGAGGAAGAAGGAAGGAAGTGCTTCCAGCCAGACCTTCATTCCAGCAAGCCTATCAGGGCCGATCACCGGCAGTGGAGAGCACAAAGAGTTCCAGTGGTCAGGTTACAACAGATGCCCCTTCCCCTCCCTGATGACAGAGGAGCCATGCCAATTAATTTATCATGATAAGATTTTTCAAAGAATCACTCTGAGCACAAGGGGACCAGGGGCCAGTTGTCTTGTCTATAGATACAAGTGCCTATTGTGGATGAGAGGAGGCTGGATTGGGCAGAGGCCAGAGGCTTTCAACGGTCCCTTTTGCTCAACAGGAAGCTCAATCCAATAGCTGACAGAGAGTGACTGCTTTATGGCCTTGGTTGGAGTTATCTGATCAACATACAAGGAAACATTGTGTTCCTTGTCTCCACCCTGGCCTTGAGGTAACCACCCAAAAAGTGGACTCCCAGCTTCAAGAGAGGAAAAGTTCTCTTGGCACCTTTTGTCTCTTTGGGGAAGCACATCAGTCTGTGCCCTTTATACTATGGCTCTGCAGACCCAGGAGAAAATGTCAGTAGCCAATGGGCTTAGCAGAATCTGGGGGGTCCTCAGAGAGGTTTCCTCACTTGGTTTCATCCCAGTGTTCATCCTGATTCTCTTTGACATTCTTGTGGGAAGTTGTCACTCATGTTCTGAATATACTAGGCACTCAGGGCCAGTGCCTCATGCATTTTTGTATTATTGGTGTCCCACAGAGTGACTGGCCTGAAGAAGGTGTCAGTGAGTGTTTTATGAATGAATGCAGAAACAGGGCATCAGGGCATCACTGATGCTCTATACTTGTAGCTATCTTCCCCTTTGCTGTCACCACATTGGCCAGAAGAAAGGGATATGGTGGAGTGCATTCACCAGCATAAAATCATTCATTATATTCAATATTCTCTCTCCATCACCTGATCTCCTGTACTTTCTATGGGAAGTCATTCCAGAACCTCTCCGGGGAAACTGCTTCTGCCAGTTCCATCCCTCCTCCCTATTAAAAAAAAGAAAGAAAGAAACAACTTTACTAATCTATGTCACTGATGACCTTAGATTACTGGGGTGAAGGTCTTTTTGTTCTTACTAGAGAAGAAAGCCCCCAGTAGATACACTGAGCTAGCTGAGAATGAGCTGGCTGAATTTGCAGATCTCCTCCATGTCAGTGGATGTCCAGTGCCTTGGATAGATGGGCAAAAGGAGAGAAGTGTCTCTGCACTTTCTCTGTAGGAAGCCACATTCCCTGTCTGAGCCCCCTCGCCTGCCACAGCATTATCAGGAAGCACTCCTGATCCACTTGGTTTATTTGTAGCCAAAGAGACCAAGGTCACAAAAACGTCCCAGAGTGGGCATGTTAGCTTCATGCTGTTCAGTCTTGACCAGTCCTCCAAAAATACATATCCTTGGTCAAAACAGGGAATTGATGAGAAAGTATAAGTTTATTGATAGAATAACCCGAAAAAGGTCTTTTAAAATAGCTCCTGCGCTCAAGTGTATGTTGAACACTTGCTATGTGCCAAGCCTCTTGCCAATTATTTGCATTAGTGTAATCGTATTAAATTCCAAAGGTTCTACAGTATCACATGTATATACAAATAGCAACACTAATAATATAAAGAATTTTACATTTGGAAAGAATCTTTAGAGATCTTTGGCCTTTTGTCCTATATAACATAGAAATTCCCTTTATAGTCTCCCTGACAGTCATGAACCTCTACTTGAATACCTCACTGCTTCTCATGGCATCTCTTAGATTGTGGGTCGTTTCTGACCTAGTAGAGCATTGTCTTTTATGACTGATTTAAGATAACTAAGTCAGATACTCATACCAACACTAGCAGGTGCTTTTCTGCTTTCTGTTCTAGAGCCAACAAATTAGGACCTGGCAGCACAGCAGTTCTCACCCTAAGGCTTCTTATTCAGAGAACAAACAGGTTTTGACTAGGAAACAGTCTTTTTATAAACCATTCTGCTAACACAATGTATGTATCTGGGGAGGAGCTGAGATCCTTAGCCAAGTTTAGAACCAATTGGAGCCTGGTGGATCCTGAAGAAAAATTGAGTCTTTTGGGGTTCAAGTTTGTTTATTGTTGGCAAAGCACGACTTCCTGTTTTTCAGAAGAAGTTTTTTTAAAGACTCATAAAAAGGTTCCTGAGGCTTCTTGGACATCAAATGGCTCTTACAAAACAATATTTTGATGAGTTAAGTGTAAATGAATCAGAAACATGTGGATTAAATTTCCCTTAAAATACACAGGGGCTTTGAAATTGGGAAAAATATGTTTGGCAAAACATGGCCTGACTGTTACCGAACCCAAAAACTTTGAATTAGATTTGGAGAAAATGGACCAATCCAGTTTTCAAATACGTAGACTTTCACTGGAAATGGACATGGATTTCAAAGCATCATCCTCCCTTCCCTTTCCTAGTCTCCCAGCTTCACTGGAAATATTTCTAGAACAGGGACTGTTTTTCATCTGTAAGTCAAGAGGCACCTCCCGATATGACACCCCTCACCTCTTACATCCATGATATTCCAATCCCAGCCCCCATCCTGACTCACTTCCTCCCCCTCCCATGGCAACACGGAGATGTCAGGCCGCAAAAGAACAGCCGGAAAGATGAACTCCAGATACAGGCCTTTTCCGCTAGTGAAAAAGTCTCACCATGAGTGAGACATGGAGCAAGATAGATGTTCTACCAGATAGAAAGGGGCATTAACGAGGAGAACCAAAAGCCACCTGGGCTTGACGACATCAGAAGGCCAGCAGTTGCCTCCAGGCCACCCTTCAGTAAGACTCCATTTTCTTAGCAAGCAGATACACCTCCAAGATTATTTTTCTGTCAGCAGAGAATGGAGATTCTTCAGGAATCTGGATTCTCAACATAGTACTTTCAGGTTGGTGCTGCATTCTCCAGCCAAGAATGTGTCTTCACAGCCAAAAGGCCTCTGCTTAATGTCCTTGCCCACCAGCCAAGCAGCAAAAAGGAATGACTGAGGGAGGTCTTCAGTGTCAGGTCCTCCCTGAGGAGTCTCCATGAGCCCTATGGGAGCCTCCGCAAGTTGGTGTCTGAGCTGGCTTTCAGTGCTGGTTTGTCTGCCCCAGGGAACTATGGAAATGGAAATCAGACCACTGCCAAGCAGCTTGAAAAGATAGCTTTCCCTGAAGCAATGCTGTGATTTCAGGTCTCCCTCCCACCCACCACTTCCCCACATCCTGCCCTTCTCCTCTGTGGTCTCCAAGGGCTCATTCTGCCCTAACCCTGCGGAGGAGAAACTCATAAATGCAAGAACGCAGCTCTGTCCGCCTGGGCTGCTGGCCTTTGAGAAGGTTGTCTGATGATAGTTAGCAGAAGAGTTTACCACAGTCTGTGAAAATTGGTATCCTTACATGCCTATTTTCACTCACACTTTAAAGCCTAGTTAATGGCGTCTTCCTCAGTTTTGCACACAACTTAAAGCCCACCAATGAAAATCGTTTGTGTTTTTTTAATGATGGTGGTAACAGCTTTCCTGATAGCTCAGTTGGTAAAGAATCCACCTGCAATGCAGGAGACCCTGGTTCAATTCCTGGGTCAGGAAGATCTGCTGGAGAAGGGATAGGCTACCCACTCCAGTCTTCTTGGGCTTCCCTCGTGGCCCGCAATGTGGGAGACCTGGGTTCTATCCCTGGTTTGGGAAGATCCCATGGAGAAGAGAAAGGCAACCCACTCCAGTATTCTGGCCTGGAGAATTCCATGGACTGTGTAGTCCATGGGGTCACAAAGAGTCGAATACAATGTGACTTTCACCTTCAATAATGGTAAATGCTGACATCGGCTAGCAGCATCTTTCTTCAGGTCTCTGATGACACAAGTCCACTCAAAATAAATTGGCATTCTCTTCTGATTGAATTCATTTGGCTCCAAAAGTTGGCTCACATGCTTCAGGGGGTTGAGAAGAAGGACCAGAGGAGAAAAGACTAAATAGAAAGGTCATTTAATAATTTATCACTTAATAATTTTTCAGAATATCAGTGCAGGCATCCAAAAAGCCTTGAATGAAATAATGTACCCTCCTACAGATGCAAGAAAAATCATCAGACACACAGCCAAAAGGATATACATTGGTAATTAATCACATAATCTTAACAGATCACTCTAAGCAAGTGGTTCCCAAACCAAACTCATCTGCCAAATATACTGAGATTTTTTTTTTTTTAAATATCGATTCTCAGACACAATAACAAGTGGATTAAATAATGGAATGAGCCCGGAAAACTGTATTTTTTAAAATCTAAGTTATTGTGTTAACCTGATGTTGGTCACTCAACTCTTAATTAGCACCTTTAGAGGCATAGATGAGTGACTCAGAGGCTGAGGTGTGCTCTTTCTACAGAGAATGATATTTTCCTCTGGGCTCAGTTGACTTCAAGTTTCTTGGAACTCCTTCTTTGAAGGCAGGACCAGGCCATTTTTTCTATTTTCTCTCATTAACCCATCCAGAAGGGGACCTAAGGGACCCCTTAGAAACAAAGTCCTTTTTCCTACAAGAGAGAAGAAAATCATTGCAGTCTTGTTGATAATGCTAAAGGCTGTTGTGTACAAGCATGTATTTCCCTCAGGCTTCTGTACTGGGTTAAAAGGATTCTGAAACAGTGAATAGTTCTATAATCATGGAGTAGATAAAACAGCAAAAGTAGAAATCAAAAAGGTCAATAAATTTGACTACCTAAACATTTTTAATTTTTATACATCAGAGTACAATGTAAACAAACTGAACTAGTCAAAGAAAACTGGGGGAAATTTTTCAATATACCTGAAAACAAAGGATCACTATCTTTAATAAATAAATAGTTTTAAAAAATCAATAGAAAAACAGGCAAAGGGCATGAACAGTCAGTTCACAAAGGAAGAAATGAAATGGCAAAGAGGCAAATAAGAAAAATACTGTGCCTCAGTGTGAATTTTTTAAAAATACAAATTAATACAACATTGAAATCCCATTATCACCTCTTGAGTTTGAGAGATGATATTTTAAACCTTAAACTGTAACCTTTTAAAAGGTTATTATTAATATCTGATGTTCTTAGGGATATGTGGAAATGGGTGCTCTCACGCATAGGTGATCAGAGCAAATTGATGCAAGCTTTCTAGATAATATCTGTATTGTCAAAATGTATTAGTCAGGATAGGTGAGGTTATGCTGTGATAACTAAGGACCTGCAAATCTCCATGGCTTTCACTAAGAAAATGTATTTCTCTTGCACACTACACATCTGTCATGGCTCAGCTGTAGCTCTGCTCCATTATCATCCTCATTCCAGATCAATAGAGCAGCTTTAATCAAGAACATTGTCAGACTTCTGGCAGAGGGAAGAGACATGGCAAAATATGAACTGCTTACTAAAGCCTCTGCCCAGAGATTTTAACATGTCCACCCACGTTGCGTTGACCAACACCAATCATGAGATCACTCAAGGCTCAACAGAGCAGGAACAAAAAAATCTTCCCACAGGGAGGAGCCCCACTGAGAATAAAGCAGCAGATTTGATGAGGAATCATGTACTGCATTCCCTTTGCCCTAGTGTTTGCAACTTCCGGTACTTTATCTATCTGAAATAAATCATAATGTCCAAAAAGTTTATGTAAATAAAGTTCTTCATCACATAATTTATAATAGCAAAAAAATGAAAAACAACTATGTCCCCAAAGGAGAAGGCTAGTTAAATAAATTTCTACGAATGAAGAACTTAGCATTCTTTTGTGAGTAGAAGAATATATAATACAATAACATGGCAGCATGTTGAAGATGTTCATGAACTAAAAAAAAGAAAATGCTAACAATGTGATCCCAATTATGTAAAAACTGAGACATATATATGTATGTGTCAAAGAACTCAGTAAATATTTGTCAAATTATTAAACTAAAAATACTGGAAGGTTGTCAACCAAAATGTTATCATATTTTAAAACACTTGGATTATGGGGGACTTTTCTTTTTCTTCTCTGTGTTTCTCTATATTTTTCCTTTTTTTCCCAGTCAGCCTTCCATATTCAGAAAAAGACACTTTGTTTTCTAAAGTCATTGTAATATATTTAAGCAAAAACAAAAGGCCTATGGTGGGAAGTGGGTATCTTCTTTGCAGGAAACCACAGTAACAAGGCCCTTCTGTCTTTCAAAGTCTAGGATGGCCAAGAATCATGAAGTAAATGCCCTTTCCTGGGGTAGTCCTGTTCTATGCAGCCCATAAATGATTTAGAAGCATCTAACAGACCACTGTTTTCATCTTTCCCTCTCTCTCTCTGGATATCAGCCACAACTATGTTCGAGGGTCCATTACACTTTTTATCATCAACTTGCACCGATCAAGAAAGAAAATCAAACTGGCCGGGACTCTCAGGGACAAGCTCGTGCACCAGTATCTGCTGCAGCCCTATGGACAGGAGGGCCTGAAGTCCAAGTAAGTGCCAGCCCAGAAACAGCTTAGGAGGGAGTGCAGTAGGAGCTGGGTGTGGAGGGAGTTGGATGGCCACTTTGCTGAGGGCACCAAGGTTGCTGCTAATTCACTCAGGGACTGCTTACTCCCTTTAGCACCCTGGACAAGTCCTTCCCAGCCCCTCTAGGCTTGGGGTCCCCAACAATAAACTCAAATGATGGACTAAATATATCTCAACAAGGGCATTCTTGGATTCTGGACTAGAGGACTCTGCATTATGCCAGATGATCACATTGCAAGCTATTTAGAATCCTTGGTCCCTACCCAATGAATGCTAATAGTGCCCCCAGTCATGTAACAACCAGAAACAGTGGTAGTTAAGAACCACGTCCCTTCCAGGGGTAGCATTCTGTACTACTGTAACTATTTGTCAACATCTACAAATCTTGTGGGGTAGAGCACCTCTAAAGGACAGAGCACTGGACAAAAATCAGAAGTTCAGAGATCAGGAGTCAGTTCTAATAAATTAAAAATTTGGATTTAACTAAAAGATTTATTTGGGGTTAATTTGGATTAATTTTTAATTTAATGAAAAATAAATGTGAATAAAAACCTGGAGAAAGAAATAAAACACTGTAAGAAAAAATAAAAATCAGTTCTGCCCCAACTTTATAACTTTGGGCACTTCTCTCTGGAACTGTTTGCTTATCTATTCTGGGAGCTCGGTAGTCTTTTCAGACTCTGTAATTTATGATTCTGTGACACTCTCTACTGCCCTCAGCCTCATCTAGAGACTCCGGCCTCTACCAACAGAAAGCAGCTCTAGGCCACCCCATCCTGGAGGGAGGCCTCCCAGGACGGACGTGAGTGCTGTACCGACTGGGAGCACTCCCATTCCACTTTTAATGTTTACCAAGTTTAACAAAGCTGTAAACTTGGAGCAGGTGGCTTGGACTCCCACAGCTGCCCACAACTATTTGCGCTGTAACTGTTCGCCATTTCACTGCAACCTTGGTGGCGTGCATTTGGTTTCCAACTGTATGTGATGGGAGCAAAACACAATCTGGGAAGTCACTTACTGAGTCTCTTAGCCCACCCTGCATTTGTTATTTGCAGTCTTGGTTCACAGACTGGCTCTCTTTTCTGGCTGCATGTCCATTACTCTCAAGCCTAACCTATGCCAGCAGAACTCGAGTATTTCATCCCCTCTCTCCATTTCCCAGTGGTTCACAATTGGTGTGCTGAGTTTCTGGTCTTCATTCTAGGCAGAAGACGCTGTTCTGGTTCACTTAATAACCTGGGGAAATCCTTTAGTCCTAATCCCTAGGCCTCAGTTTTCTCATCTGCAAAATTCAAGAGTTATATATATGGTAAAGTCCCTTCCAGCTCTGAAATTCTCGCCCTGGTCTGATCTTCTGAGGCCTATGTGCTTAAATCTTGCACTGCCTCATGACCTGCAAAGTCACATCCACAGAGAGGCGACTCCACAACAGTGACGGTGATAGTTCAGGGTCCTTTAGAACCCAAGATGATTAGGAGCTGAGCCTGCCCCGTGTCCGGAAGACCACGTGTACCGCATGGAAGAAACTAACCAAAGGCCTTAGTCTAACAGGCTAAGGTGTCAATCCCTGCTCTGCCACTTGCTGGCTGTATGTCTTGAGGCAAGTTACTTGATCTCTGTGAGCCTCAGTTTCTTGAGCTGTAAAACTTTTTCTGTGGAGAGGAGCAAATGAAGTCTTCTATGTAAATTTCGTGACACATGGTAAATGCTCAGTAAATACTCTTTGCCTTCCTTTTCCTCACCTCAGACCTCTAGCTAGTTGAGGATGAAGAGAATAACTGCTCAACTGCTCTAAGGATGTTCTTCAAAAGTGGCATCTTCTTAGACTTTTGAGATAATATGTGGATAAGACATTTGTTAAGATTATGATAAAAAGAAACACAAAACCATGAAACATGCAGAAATGATGGCAGGTGGCATCATTTTTACGAGCTTGTTTCTCCATCACCCAAGGGCACAAACCTCTAACCCTGTTTGCCCAACTCTACATCCCTGCCACCAGGATTACAGCTCTGATGTTTGAACTGCCCACATCCTGGCCTCTGTCCTGCTTCTGTCTTTAAAGTGACTGAAGTGACTCTCAGTGGCTACTGATATGCTGCATTCCCAGTTATGCTGTCTTGTGCCTCACCTTGTCATCATATTGTTGAGGAGCTATGTAATGGCTTTATTAGATTGTCAGAGAGGGACAGGAAAAAGAGAATTTCATTCCACAGAGGTCCTGAAGAGGAATTTGGTAACGTCAACTGAAATTAAATAGCAGTATCATGCAACTGGAAGAAGAGGGAATTGGAACCAGGAAGTGTGGCTATAAATCCAGCTGCTACCATTTACCTGTGTGACCTCAGCTTGCTCACCTGTCAGACGAGGTTATTGTGAGAATCAAGTTAGAGCATATGGGTGAAATGAAGTCTTCTACAAATAAAAATTTCACACATCCATGCATACAGATACATATATAACCACAGACACTCACATAATTATACATATATTGTATTAAAGAGAGTTTGGGATTGAAAGTCTACAAAACTGGATTCCAGCCCTAATCCTGCCACTGCTTCACTGTGGTACTTCAGGCCCTTCACTCACGTCTCCAAGCAGGTTCCTCTTCCTGTGAGCGACTGCTCATTTAATACCTCTCCGATTCTAGAGAGAACATGCTGCACCATCTCTGACTGTAGGCTGCCAGACAGGGACTGCCGTGTACATGCTCAGAACCCGCACCCTACTGTCCTGCTCAGTAACTGCTAATAAGAGCAGGAGCCCTCAGTGGTTCTGGGATGTGGGTCTCACAGGAAAGGTGCCATTTCAGTGCAGCAAGCTCTGCAGGAAAGGATGAAAGGAAATGCTAGGAAGTGATTTCAGCTCTTTGGTGTCTCCTTCTCTGTTTTATAAGCCTCTGGGGCCAGATTCTGTGTTCTTGGCCTGCTAATTCCTACTGTCGCCTGAAGCCATGTTAGTTCAGGGCAGGGATGGAAAGCTCTGGGAACCTGTAGCTGCTCCTGTCAGTAGCAACCAGGAAAAGGATACAAAGCAAATCAGTGCGCCAGTCAGGCTACCAGTGGGGCCTTCTGGCCTGGGGCTTTAGGAGCAGGGAGATACTGGCAAACCTTTTCAATTAGTAGAGAACATGGGGTAATTCTCCTTCTCTTGGAATTGCCATCAAGGCTGGAAATAGTTCAGATCTTTGAAAGGGTAGTGGCATGTGAACTTGGGGCACTGGGACGTCAGGTATTCTATAGGTAACACCCTTGAGGCCACTCAAAATGCGTAGTCCAGGCATCCAGATCCTTAGCGAAGGTTCCTCTTTCTCATCTCCACGAGCAAAGTAGTCAAGAGACCCACAACTCAAATCTCAACTCTTTAGGTAAGAGATTGTTCTCACTCTAGGAACCAGACAAAAAGTGAGTGCCCTGTACCCTATGGGATAGAAGCAGGGAAACTTAGAAAACTGCGGTGTGGATCAGAGAAGGGTGTTCTGTGTCTGGAGTATATATTCTTCAAGGATGACTGAAGAAAATGGGGAGATTTGATTTAGATAAGAAAAATAAGGTAACTTGTGAGGACTTTCTTTGGATATTCAAAGGGCTGCTAAGTGAAAGGAAAGAGATTTGGCCTAGGATCCTCTAAAATGACAGAAAACCAGGAACTACAATTTAAAAAAGAAAGAGCTCACCGCAAAATGAGCTCATTTTTCAAAGGCTTGCCTGGTTTAACTGGGGACAAGACAGGCTTCCTTAGGAGGTAGACTATTAATCAAAGAACAAGCAACATGGCCATCTCAGGGGTGCTTTAAGATTCCTTACTCAGTGGGAGGTTGAGGTGAAAGATTACTGCTTCCCATCAAACTCTAAGATTCTATTATTCTCTTCCATTCCCCTCCCCTCAACCCCCACTTCACTTTTGGAGCCTATATGGTCACCAGGAGAGTAGCTTCTTCAAGCCATCAAAAAGGCCACACAAAGAAACAATGCTATGAGAGAAAGAGGTGGTAATACCAGCTCAGTTCTTTTCAAAAAAATCTCCAGCTGCAGGTCCTTCCCCTGTCATTTTCACTGCTTTCTCATCTTTCTGAAGGAAAGATTCACCTAAGATTCACCTAAGATTCACACCTAAGACAGTAATGGTTCCCCCTCTAGGTAAGTCTAACAGCACCTTTGGCGCAGCTCCACCATCCACTAGGGAATCTGCCCAATGCCTCACGTGATCACAAATCAATGAACATCATCCTCTAGGAAATCATCTCTCCTAAGACATAAATATCTCCAATGCCTTTCAATAAACAGGAAGGCAACATAGAAGGCAAGTTGTATCAAAAAACAGGAGGACTCAAACCAGGACTCTGTAACAACCTAGAGGAAGTAGGATGAGGTGGGGGGGGGGGTAGTTTCAAGAGGGAGGGGACATATGTATACCTATGGCTGATTCATGTTGATGTTTGGCAGAAACCAACACAATTCTGTAAAGCAATTATCCTTCAATTAAAAAGTAAATTAATTAAAGAAAAAAAACAGGAGGAGGACTCACTTTGTAGGGGAAAGTCAAACCAGGAACAGGTATTTGGTCAGATCCCAGCATTTTCCCCTATGTGTCATATTCAGTTCCATTTGGAGGGAGAATGATCCAAAAATTGGAAAAGAAGGAAACAACTTTCATCACGCTGGCTCTTCTATTCTGACACATTGATGCTGAGAAACCTGGGGTGGGATAACGTTTTGAGGTGGTCTGGTTCACTCCCCTGCCCTCAGTCTGTGACTGGGACATCTGGACCAGAGATGCCCTATGTCTAAAGACCCCTAGGAAGGGAGTGCCCACAGTTTCAATCCGGTCTGAACATTGAGTTTTATAAGAACACTGGGGCCATCTGTGCCTGTGACTGGGACTTTATAGATAATAACAGCACCATGAAGCATTTTAGAGTTGAAGAAACTGAATTTTAGGGCCTTAAGTGACTTATTGAAGA